GCAGGCTGCCATGGCACAGCACAGGCTGGAGCTGTGCCAGCATCGTTCTACTGTCAGTGGTGGGGGTGCCCAGGGTCAGGGCAGAGCCCGTGCCAGGGCAATAGAAAACAGAAATACTCTGCTCTGACACAGGGGAGTTCCTGGCAGCGTGAGTCATTGTCTGTTCCCCAAAGCCTGTTCTGATTTTTCCCTGGGATTATGTGCTTTTCTCAGTAAATTTTGATGTGGCAGAGAGCTACAGTATGTACTGACCTCTGGCTTCAAGTCTTGACCTCTAAGAGCAAATGAACTGGACATGTTCTGCCCATGAAACCTCTGCTCCAAGTCAGTTTTGTGGTCTAGCTCAGGGCAATCTAATTTAAGCAATACATGCATTTGTAAACCATCAGGACTGCTAATTATTTTTCTGGAATAATACAAAATTTCAGTCGTATGAGATATGAAGTCAGGCCCACTGCTAATAGAGTCACCTACACACAAAAATATATTGTTTTCACTTTGCAGAGAAGGGAACAACTTTGTCTGGTTTTTTTCTCTGACCTTCATAAAGCATTAAAATACTCACCAGAAGTGATCTTTTTGTACCTTGAAAGATTTTCTTAGGCAAAAGATTTTACATTTTTTTGAGGATCTGTAAAGATGTTGTTTTTTCTTAGCTGAAGATGGGTTTATAGTATTACTTCTTGTTCCACGGCTCTGCCAACATAGAACCCAAGAGTACATAACAGATCTTAATAAAATTTATTTCCAATGTTTTCAAATAAAAGTATTAGAAAACTGAAGGCAAATAGTAAAAGTAAGGTGGCAACATAGACTGGTTTCTCCTAAAGCCTTCAACAAAGCGGGTGATTAACACAGAATAGAAGAATTGAGTTTTGTATAGTGGAAGACATTTCTTACTTTTTGTCGTTGATGTTCAAGTTTGACATAAGTATTTGCTTTTAAGAAGATTTTTGAAGGAGAGCTGGAGACCAATGGCTAATCAAAGATCTAGTGTGGTTACCAGGAACTTGTCAGACATCCTCATTTAGTCTTGCACTCAGTCATGTTCAGGTGAGTGAATTTATCCAACCACTCTATGTTGGATATGTTCCTATGTGCTTCCTACACATCAGGTTATCACGTAGCTTTTACTACCTGCTTAGCATCAAGGATTTGAGCCTACTTCCAACCCCTCCATGATGAATGTCCAAACTTCTGGGCTTTTGCCTGGTGTTTTTCTTCACTCTCTTGCTCTGTCTGATTTAAAATAAAAGAAAGAAAAAAGTTTCTTAGACTCTGGATAATCTAATGAGTAAAAATTCCTTCAAAACAAAAACTGATGTACAATTAGTAAATTCTGTATTCCAAAGGATATTATGTGACGTAGTACCTGATACACATTCTGGACTCTCCAGAAGGTCCCTCCTCACAGTCCTAACATAGGTGCTGGTTCTTTATTTCCTCTTCAGTAAGAACAGGCTTTGGGCCAAGATTCTTCGGTCAAAAACAACTTTGTCTCTCCTGTGCTGTGTCTTGTTGGCTCTTACTTCCAGTGCTGATGCAGTTTTTGCCTGTCTGCCTACATCCACATCTGCAGCCAAGCTCTGACATGCTGCAGTATGTGTACAATTCCTCAAGAACTATGGGATCTTTCCCAGGAGAGCTGTATAGCTGTGAAGTGTTCTGAATGCTCAACTTTTTTCCATAAATTATCTTGTAACATCATTATTTTTTGTGCCTCTCACTGAAAAAATTCCTTGTTATGATTTAGCAGGGATATTAACAACCTGATGCATGACCAGAGGAGCAGGCTGAAGCCAGAAAGGAGAGAGGATATGAAAAAAATTAGTGCTGTAACTAAGCGTGAGTGCCATCAGTTTAGTCACAGGAAGGATTAGGTCTAAGTCTGCAGTGTTAAACACATTAGCTTTAGACACCTTGGTAGCCCTACTGAAGTCATCAGGGGCTTTTGCTGTGATTAATCAGCTGGGTTGAGTCCTGGCTTGTGAACCTCAGCACCTGTTATTTGTCTAGGACACCCTGAAAATTTAGTTAACCCTCTGGGACTTTGTATCATCAACATGGTTATTGCCATATCTGTAGTTCATTGATCTACAAGCTGGGGATTTCCTCTTAGGTCTGTTCTGCAGCTTCAGGAGGCCATGCACCCTGTTTGAAACATTTTTAATTTGCTGCACTTAAACACTAGACAAAACTATCAAATAAAACCTTTTCATATTTCTTCTCACATTCAAGCTTTTTTCCTCAAGCCTTCCCACATTATATGTGTTCACTTGGTCTATTTTAGCAAATGACTTTGCATGTACCAGCTCTGCACATTTTTCCTGCACACACAGTTACCTGAATGCAGGTACAGGAGAGGACTGTGCCATGTGGACAGTACACTTAAGAAAATGCTAGTGCGAAGGACTTAGACATTGAACAAAAATAGCATTAAAAAAATCACAAGTGGACTTGAAAATCTGTGCCTGGGAAAGTGGAAAAACTCAAATTCTTCATAATATATGATTCACTAACTGTAACAAAATACAATGACCGATATAAAAAAGGATTTTGAAGCTGCCTATTCTTGGGTTTATTTTAGGGGCTGTTTTGCACGGGGTGGCAGAGTGGCCGTGTAACTGATGCATTCTACAACACCATTTCTGTCTTTGGGAAGTTGCAACTGGTGTTTTAGAAATTAGCATGGCAAAATGCTTCTTTAGTCCCCTTGAATCCTGTGAAGGAGATCAGCTACCAAAAGACATGGTGTTGGCAGTACACTGTGCGTGGTACAATGGTGAGTGTGGGGGCAGTGTGGATGGGACCCCTCACGGTGACTGTTGTGTGTGCTGTGTGTGGTGCATGGTGACGGGAGCACACCGCGTTCCGTAAGGGACTGGCATTGGCACATGCTCTATTTGCTTGCCTGATGGGCTATAAAAGAGAAGGTATTTCCCGATGCCTAGAAGAGGAAACCCCTACTCAAGCGCTGTTGTCGTCAAGTCCAGCACAGAAGCTGGTGTGCTGGTGAATATTTTGGGTAATGAATTGTGTGCAGACTGTGTCCCTGTCCTTCCCCGCGTAGGAGGACCCGGCCACACTGAAGACACTGCTGCGTAAGTACTGACCCATCACTGACGAGCAGAGGGGCAGGAAATCTGTGTCAGGTAGAGCCTCATCCAGACATCTGTGGAGTTGAGCCCAGGGTGGGGAGGGCAGAATCTCCAGTTCAGTCAGTGATTTTGGGACCGAGCCTGGGCACCCAAAGAGACAAAGTCTCATGGCCGTGGCAGATGATGTGCCTCACACCTGCCTGCACCACAGTAAATGTTAGATCACTCCTGAAATGAAAGATAAGTATTCAATTAATAAAGCAGGCATAGCAGACTTCCCAAAGAATGGCTCGGCCACTCAGGAGGACATGTTGCAGATAAGTTGCCTGTGTAATTCAAAATTCATAAGAATATTCAATATCGAGATTCATACTGTGGTTTAAACTTATTCTACTCAGAGTACTATCTGGTGTATAAGGTAAGCATGGTTTTGTGTTTGTATGAAGAAAGGGAATTCTATCTAAAATGATTTTATCCTGTTTTGTTCCTTATTTTTTTTAACAAAAAAATACACACACCTTTGTATTCTATTTATTTTTCTGTTTGAGTACATAATTTATTATTACTTTTTCTGGTAGGCTTGCTCACATTTGTTTCTTTTGCTTTGTTTCCTGGTATGAATCCGAATATTTTCTTTATCTGTTTATCATTAAATGCTGACTGTGCTTGAGGCTGACCACAAAAACTACTCAGAGCAATAGAAGTTTCTATAGTGGCTTCTCAGCAAACCAGTCCCCAGTTCTGGGAACATGGTGAATGCCCACGCTTGGCATTCTAAGACTTGTGAGCTAAAGGCATATGCACAATTAAACGTACTCAAATACCTTTAATAATAAGGATACCTTTCCTTCATGAATCATAAAATGCTGCCTAAGTATTACTGTACACGTGCATTTTCATGACAGGAGCAGAGGTGTACTTGGACGGCCCCTGTGAACGTATGGTGTGCTTACACTTAAAAATCCTTAATTCATGACTAGTGTGGGAAATACATGTTGGGAGACTCAAGACATCCCTTTAAATTTGCAAAGTTAATGGTGAGAGGAAGTTTTCTGATTCGCATGTATACAGTGTGATATCCAAAACGAATTAGCCCTTTCAGGATAGTTCACTATTAATGATTTCGGTTCCAATCAAAAGCCTTTGAAAGCAGACACATTTTCAATCGTGACCAACCCACTGAACTCCAGTTAAACCACATTCTTGGTTTCAGAGGGGCTGTGACATATACTTACAGCTAGACACATGCTAACCTCAATTTTTTGATCAAGATCACATTTTCAAACATTCTACATGCATGGAAACATGGAGATTCTAAACTCTTAGTGCATTCCAGTTAATGAAATATCATCACAGAGTAGGATAGGTTAATCCATATAATTCACATGGAGTTCATAAAATCATTTTAACAAAATTAAAGAGAGTTATATTTAGCTTGATACTCAGAAGTGTTAATACCCTGCTTTTAATCTGACAGATTGGATTTGGAAAGCAATATAAAACATGAGTTTCAGTGTATAGAATTTTTTATTTCCACAACTTAAGGATGTTGTTAAGATCCATGTTCCTTTTTAAGATCTGTTCCATCACTTAAAATCCAACCAGTGCTAGTTAGCCAAAAACATTTATCTTTAATAGCTTTCAGTGCTCTGGAGAAGTTAAAACAGGGACCTTTTATTACCCATTTTTCTTAAAGAAGTAGTTAGAAGTAAAGACTAGCTTTGATTCTGTTGTTGGCATAGAGATTATTTTATTCATCAAACAAATTAGAGTTTCAAATAAGAGTAAGTTGACCTTGCAAAGAAACAGCATATTTAATCTATGACCAAAATAGTTATTTGTGTGCTTTTTTCCTCTTTTTTTTTTCCTTCTTTTCTTTCTCCCTCTACCCTCTTCCAATAGGTCACATGTATGCAGTGGTTGCAAGGGGACCATACGATGCTGGATATGATCGAAAAAAAGCGTTGCCTCTGCAAAGAAATAAAAGCTCGACAGAAATCAGAGAAAGGACTCTGCAAACAGGACAGCATGCCTATTTTGCCGAGTTGGAAAAAGAATACTGGGACCAAGAAATACAGCCCTCCTCCGTATTCCAAACAACAAACTGTGTTCTGGGACACTGCAATTTGACAGGCCTGTGGAGGATGCCTTCTCCACTGTGTTGCACCGAGCACAGGTAGCCTGCTTTCTTAATAAGGCAAAGGCTCTAACCTAAGACTTATCTGCAGGTGGTGAACTTCCTAGGAAAAAAACCCACACTGATTCAGTGCTCATCTGTCAATCAAGAGAGAGAGTTACTTTTCTGACTGGATTAAGGCATACGTATTTATCCAGGATTTTTTTGGATCCAGAAGATATCAAAATGTAAATATTTCGCCAATATATTGAAAACATCCAAACTAATACACTGTTTAAATATATATATATATATAAATTCAAAAATTTATGAAGAATTTTACTATATAATGTTACTGTTATACTGTTTTATTACCTATTTTCTATGTTTTCTTCTACTGTTCACCCCCCGCTGCCACCATTTTATTTCTCTGACCTGCCTAGATGTGGCCTCTGTACAAAAGCATGTGGTTGTACATTTTGTTGAAGAGTACAAAAAAACATGGTGCTAGGGCTGTAGCAGATAACTAGAGTTGTACTTGTTAGACGTCCTTAGCTTTGGGGGGGGTGGGGGAGGATGGACAAAGGAGAGAGTTCTGGTGGGAAACAGTGAAACTGCAAGCACTGAAAACCAAAGTGCTTAATGTAGATGCCTGAGTTGCATTTAAAATATTAATTGTTCTGCATCTGTTTTCCCCATAACGTTAATCAGATAAATTGCCCTTGGTTTCATATGAACCAATTGCTAAAATTATTTGGCCAAGAAACGAAATTTTCTGCAGCAAAGCCTGCAACAAAACTCTTCCTTCATTGCATTCAGTTGATTAGCAGAGACCATGGTTCACTGTGACTAAGCATTGTACAGCCCGTGACGGACAGACCCGGTTGCTCAGCAGGTTAAGGCAGTGCCACTGCAGCCGCCGTTCCTGTCCACATTTGTCTTTGGTCCAGAAAAATAAAGGCGACAAAAACCTGTTTACATTTTTATTGTTTTTAAATCCAGCAACACATCCTTACTTACGCCGTGTCAGATTTCCTTGTGTTGTTTATAAAGGCTGGAATTCAGACCCCTTGAAAGCCAGTAGGGAAATCCCTCTTGATTTCATGCGGTTTTGAAGCAGAGGCCCACGTAACGTGTTCTCCTGGCTATGCCGCTTCTTCTTCCTGGCTGCTTCTGTAATTGGCTTGCAATCCTGTATTATATTACACCCATTTTAACAGAATATTATGTCATGACCAAAGAATTATGACCTCCTGGTTTTAACAGGAGAAAGAGATGGCTTATACTGATTATGAGGGTGAAATCCATGCGATGAAATATCTTCCAAAACGATCTGTTGAGAACAAGGGAAACTTGTACTTCTGTGGAGTAGGGAAAAGAAAAGATCTATGGCATATATTTTGTATATTTAAATTTCTATCTATGTGTCTGAAGTTTGGTAGCACAAACGTCCCTCTTTAAAACAATCATTTTAATATTATATTTACCGAGAAGAAAAGGTGTGTTGTTTGAAACTTCTTGTTGTATTGGCTTTTCTTTGAAATTATATTGACAGCATTGCCACAGCTGTAATTGCTGATCAAAAAAAAACCAAAAATAACAAATTTTAGAAGGTTTTTGTAATCTATATTGCTAAAGTTTGAGTTTGAGTAATGCTTTATCAGTAGTAGTTTCTTTTCAGCCTCTGAAATAAAGTTTTTAAATATTTTATAACTAATTAACTAATGTATATTTTGATGTCCAAACTGAGATTTCTGTAAAAGATGAAGTGTGTGTTTATATGTGTGTATGTATATTAGCATTACTGTATATGTATATATGCATATGTGTACACACATATATATGTATATATGCATGTATCTATATATACGCATAGATGTGTGCATACGTATATACCTGCATACATTAAATATGGGTGTGCTATGAATATACAGTGGCTGGACTGGGTACACAACTGAAACAAGGATTTAAAGAGCCCTTCACAGCCGAAATGACAGAAGACATGAAAAAATCACAGAGGCTGTGAAGGAATCTTTGGATACATGTTACATCCAAAAGACACCAACTGTATATTCTGCTTATTCTCTTTTTTTTAAAGAAAGAAAATGGCAGAAGAAAAACTCCAGAGATCTCGCAAAGTTCCAGAATCTGCTGGAAAGAAGACAACTTGTTGGTCATGAGAAATCTGTTGAGATAACAGGTTCATTATTCAGAAAGTGTTTATGCTTTGTCTTCCTTGTAATGTGGCAAGAGAAGAATTTTCCATAACCATGTGTGAAATACTTAGCTCAGCCCTTTCCCCCAACTGCACAAGGTCTCTGGTGACAAAATGAAATCTGGTGTTCAGTCAATCTTGATAGTCCTTCTCCACACTGGTCTCTTCCCGGAGCAGTCCCTTTAAAACCCCACTGCTGAAGCAGTTTCACAGTCCAGACTTGGGCTGCAGCGCCCGGCCCTTTGGGGGAAGGCAGGTGTTAATGTGAACAGTTACGTGTTTGACAGTGTTTGTTCATATCGTGTCCTTTTCATATCAATATGTAATAGGAATAATGATCAGGGAATTGAAGCATTCTTGTCCTAAGCAGACTTGCTTGTACACTTAGCCCACCACAAACCACTCCTTGTTTTGCTTTTATTGCTCAACACTGTTTGTGTTGTCCTTCCTAAATAACTGCCCATGTGCTTCCAGACCTCCATTGTATCCCATGGAAACAATGGCTTTTTGTTTCAAAGCGCGACAACACGATGAAGTAAAATATAACTTAGCACTTACCTTCAAAGCACTTTAGAAATGTGAAGTAAACCTCACACTTGCGAGAACCGTTTTACAGAGGAGGGAAGTGAGGCTCGGGTGGAGTAGTTTCCGAAGGTCATGGACAGAGCCAGAACAGGACATAGGCCACTGACCTGTCCCTTGATTGCTGGCCCACCACATCCCTCGAGTAAAAGGCACATCGTGCTGCCAAGAGCTGCCGCCACAACGCTGTTAAACATTCCCTACACCACCTCTTGTCTCAGCAGCTTCTGCGTCACAGGGTGAATGACAGTGCTTAGTTACACACGGTCATTAAAGCTGTAGTCTGTATAAATATGCAATCTGTATATACATACAGATCACATATATACACACACTTACGAAGACTGTATATATGAAATTGTTCGGTATGCACTTATTTTGCTTTAAACTCCTGAAGGTAAACATTATAGTGTAGCAATTTGTGTAAAGTGCACTGTGATTTCAAGAAAGCACAGTAAAGTCACAGGTCTTGTTATTCTTGCACTAAAAATGTGTTTACGTATATTAGCCAATGTATGTCTACTTTATCGCTCCTTTTGACAAATTAAAGCAAATGGTATAAAATAGTATGGGGTTTTTTTTTGGTTTGGGTTGTTTATTTTTAAGTGGACAATGGCACTATGTTTTTAAATGACAGGGTTTTTAAATAAAATGAAATCATTCTGTGTTCATTCCGATGTAATACATTTACCAATATCTTGAAATTGAATGTCATGTTGCTTTTTTTTATATTTCATTAGAAATTGTCAGGTATGTGCCTGAGATTGTGTAGGAGTAAGGAGTAGCTAGAGGCTAACTGTAATCATATATTATTAGCCGTTTCTATATACACAGTATAAATACATATTAATTTTCTTTTCATTTTTGTACTTGATTTTTTTAGGTAAGATGTAATTAAATGTACTTTGATACTTCTGAAGTAATAAGATGTTGTTTGAAGATCAATTCTGCTTTCTTTAGTGCATTGACAATATTTTACAATAATTTAGTGCTTATTTATTTGTGCTCCAGTGTAATTATAATAAAAAGCAATAGTTTAAAATATTTGGCTGTTCATTTTCTTTTGATGGTTTAAGAGACAGGTTATTCACTAGGGATTAGCCAGAGATTCCTGGGAAGAAAAGTCAAGTCATGGATGTATATTTATAGCATTCCCTAGGCACATTTTTAATCGCACCATTTGTTGGAGGAAATGAATTAATTACTTTAATAGGTTAGTATTTGCAAGTCATGCCTGGTTGCATTTAATGCCATGAGTGCCATCCTCAACTTAATCCTTAGGATAAGATTTCTCTGAAGAGCAGACAAATTTTTCCCTAAGTGCTTTTCACAGTTTGGGAAGGAAGATGCTCACTTGAAAGACTACCCCTTCAAAGATCTCCATTTGAAGAATATCCACAAATGGGAGAGGGACTCATCACACTCTCCATGAAGCTCTAAAATATCTACTTAAAAGTAAGCATAATCTTCCTATTTCGAAACTGAATATTTACATCCATTGGGATGTAAAACCCAGCCCTTGCAGAGGAACTCCACAACTTTTTTAAGAAGACATTCCCCTAATATTTTGAAGAAGACATTTTGCAGTTTAAAAAGGTTTCCAAGAGGGAGTAAGCAAGTAGTTAATAAAGAACCCAGTAAGAAACAGTAATTTGTGGCACTGAGACGAAATTTTTCTCCCTTTGTGAAAAAAAGCTGCCTTTAATATGAGAAAAAGGTACTATCCATGTTCATATAGACCTGTATGCAGAAGGGCACCAGCGGGAATCTTTCGGCTGTCTTGAGCAGGAGCTGGTTCTGAGACAGGTTGCTAATGATCCAGAAAGTGCTTTCCAAGTGCTTCTCTGCCCCAGGAGTGACCTGCTTTCCCTGAGGCACAGCCTCTCTCTCCTCAGCAGTGACCCCATTGCCAGGGCCCATATAACGGCTGAAGAACTTTGCTACCTCTTCATGCTCCTCTTCCTCTCCCCAACCCCTGGCATGGATGTTCACAGTGACTCGTCCTCTAAAGCAAACTCCAGCCTTTTCTCCCAGGCTCCATGTTTCACATGGAAATCCTACAGGGGTGGCTAGAAATGAACAGAACACTGTTTTACAAGGATTTTTCAAAACAGAGATTCTGTCAGTTTGTTGCACTGATGGCTCTTCAGTGGGATAGTTCATGAAGTCCTGTGTCCTAGCTCATTTCTAAAGACTTTCCAGATTGACTTCCAGCATCCACCTCAGTCCACATGCCATGCCTGACCACCGCTGGAGACAGCAGCACCTGAACAGAGAATGTAAGGGGGAGGATTGCCAAATGCAGCAGGGAGCATAAATCTGGGGCAAATTCAGATTTTTCCCTAGTTAAAATAGGCGTATTCTCTTTCTCTGCCACTGCAGGAACACTTTCTATATACCATTGTTTCTTGAACAGAAGAGGTTTAAATTAAAGGAGACAAGACCATAAAAAGCAATGGTTGGGTTTTACACTTGTATTTGCTCTAAGTTTATTTAAAAGTGGAAAGGTGCCTGCAGTGCTCTATCTTGGGTCTCTGCTCCTTTTGCATTTTAAAAGCCGCCACAATACCTCTGGCTGGAGTTTCTGCTGTTTCTCTGCCGCAGTCACTCAGGGTGACCTCAGCTGGTGCCAGAGTGGCTGCGAAGCAATTAAAGCACAGAGGGGCCTGTCTTGCTTGGGAACAAGTAAAACCTGCCCTGAGCACAGCGGGGAAGTCGAGCAGCCGTTAGAGGGGAGATCGGCCAACATCTCTCAGATCTATGGCCAGCGCTGACAGAGCTGGCAAGGGAACTGCAGGAAACTAAATAAAATTTACAAAAACAAAAGACAACTGAAAAGAAACACTGCTCAAAGGCAAGGCTGAACGCATTTGACATTTATTTTCTAAACCTGCCAACATCTCTTATGGGGCATTTTTTTTCCCTTCAAAACACAGTAACACACCTGTCACCTTTTAATTGAGAATTTTGGCACTGAGGTGTGTGGCGGTTTCAGTGTTTTCACCACCTGTGGCATATTTTCATCCTCCTTTGTCCTCTCTTTCTGTCTCATTCCTGTTTTTTCATTATGTGCTTTGGGAAATATATTTCTAAGTACAAGAAGTTCCCCTGTCATCTTTTGTTCCCATTAATGTTGTTCTCTACCTCCCCTGTTTTCAGCTGGCTCTATGCTCTCTAACCCTCACGAAAACATACGAGGACAGCAGAAGGAGGAACCACCATCAATTTTATTTTAGAGGGTAGCATTTATCAACGTTGCTCTCCGTGTATACACAGCAAGTTTCACAGAGGGCTAGGGAAAGAGAGCTGGTTGGGAACGTGGCAGGAAACACTGAAGTTCAGTCTCCAGCACAAGGGTGCCCCCGAGGCAGCAGGGCCAGGCAGAGTGCCCTGCAGGGAGTTGGGTCTGCTCTGCCCTTTCCAGGCACAGTCCCTTTCCCGAACATGGCATGGTGGGACCTTGACCACACCGCTCTTGCTCTCTCTGGGGCTTTCCCACCACTTTTGCAGTTGATGCCCTCCACCCTCAGTACCCAGCTCTGCCCTGGGGGAGCTACACCTCTCCAGCTGGGGAGACCAGCACTTCATCAGGTCACATCCCTTGCTCAGGTGCACCAGGTGTGCTTTGGGCTGACAAGCTCCATATTGGGCCAGTCCTGGCTGCCATAACTTCCCTCTGTGCTCTCATTGCAGTGGAGTGCAGCAGCGTGGCAGTGCCCCACGGGGACAGAGCCCGTGGCTGGGGTGGCAGCGGGCAGAGCACCACGGGTCTGCTCAGAGGCACCGCTCAGGATGGAAGGGAGGTCATGGGGACTCAGCTCTCCAGCACATGTGACAGCCACCCACCAAAAGGTAACCTCCTCTGAACAGCTTTTGATAACCATCGCAGCGTGCCCCTGCACAAAGGCTCCTGTTTGGGAAGCCGGGAAAAGCCCCCGGCTGTCATTGCCCTGGAGGAGAGGAGCCTGCGCTTCCTCAGCAGTCGCTCCTAATTGAATGACTCTGGGTCCGCTCTCTATGACCTTAATGCTCTGTTTAGACATTAACACCTCTGCAAAGTGGGTGTTAAATGGTTCTGTTAGTGTCTGTAGCGTGTTTTTACATCCACTTGAGAAGTGTAAATGATTCTACAAGGCGCAGGGTAGTGGAAAGTCAGCTTTCCCTCGGCTCCAGCTGGCTGGGGAAATTCAAATTAACTCCTGTGGAATCCAGCTCCCACCAAAGAGCTTTTCTTTCCCAGATTCTTCAGGGTTTTTTTACCGTTCTTGTAAACACAACAACTGAATGGCTAGTGTGTTTATTTTTCTAGTTTAAAGAGGCTGAGGTGTCCTTGGCCACGAAGGCGGAGGCCTTCACTTTCTTCCTGGATTTTAGATCCTTCAGCATTTGAGAATTTTGTCATAATTTCTACTGAAGTATGTGGCCCATCCAAGAAGTCTGAAACTAGCACTTTCTTTCTTTATTTATTTCTTTTCCTGGCTGTGTGTGGGATATGGTGACACAAGTTGCATATGGAATAAGCTGACAGGATGAGTTTTTCGCAGTAGTACATATTTGACTGACTAGGCATCACCTTGAGAATGTTGCTTCATCCTCTGAACTGTGTCAGTTAAAATTTCCACACTCACCATG